AAGAAAAAAAATCAGTAATACGGTTTTGACTATGGGAATGGTAGTCATGTTGAGAGAATAGTAACTAGGATGTTAAGAAAAAGTATTTATAGGAGTTTTAGGCTAAGGAATATCATAGATATTTTTCAGTTATTTGGAGAAATTTTGATAGATTTTACAGTGAGTATATGTAAAAGGTAAGGGGGGAAGATAAGGTGGTTTAAGTGAGGACAGCAATAGTTGGAATTTTATGTACTTACTTTATTTGTATGATGTAACCTCTCAAGCACTTAGAGATCTGAGTTGGGTGGTTCCCATGTATAAGGCTGCAAGCGAACTTCAGTATTTCAGAAAGCTTAATGGAAATCACATAGTTACCTATTTTAAGCATATACAAGTTAAGATTCCTTTGTCTTTGGCTGGAATCATATCAACTCAGTGTTTAAATAGTAGGTCTTCCTTATTGATTAAATAGTTTGCTATTATACTTTTTGATTTTTTTACAAAAGTGAAAATGAACTTACTTAATACATGCAGATTAGAAACATGGAGCTCATGAAAGGAAAAAGTAAATAAAAAGAGGGAGTCTTTGGTTAAAAGCTTGATAGAGAATGATTTTACTGTATGATTTTATTTTTTTATCCGTTTACTAGGAGTTGACATATTTGACTTTATTAAATAGAAACACAATTTGTATTTTAGTGCTTAGTTTCCTGTTGAGTAAATATGTAAAAACTCCATAATGACTGCTATTGCTTGTGCCAGCTTCTCAGTTTTTTGTTTCTGTTTTGCTTTGATGGTTAATAACTTGAAGCAGTATTAAAAACATTTCTGGACATACCTTCTTTACCACTATTTCCCCAACTTTTAGAATTGTGCTTGGTGTTCAGTAAATGCTTGTTGAATGAAGTAATCAGATACTGCATGTAAACAGTAATTATAATTAAAGTTGAAGTAAATGTTAGGATATAAGGGAATTAAAAGAATAACTATGCTTTGAGGCTTAGCACCAGAGTTATTTATGTTAATTTTAGACTTTAGGAGATTAGGAATACTGGAAGGGTAGATAATACTGTACCTATCCATAAATGTGTGTTTCTTTGTGTGTGTTTTTTTTTAATCCTCACCTGAGAATATTTTTTCCATTGCTTTTCAGAGAGAGTAGAAGGGAGGGATGGAGGGGGAGGGAGAGAGAATCATTGATGTGGGAGAGAAAGACATTGGTTGCCTCCTGCATTGCCCGACGCTCAACCTCTGAACCATGCTGGCTGGGCTAGACTCACCTTTGGTAGGTGGTGATGACAAGATCACATGGCAGAAGAGCACATGGGGTGGGAGATAATGCTTTGGCCATCTATGGAAACAATCTACCACAGTGCTATTAAAAAAAAAAAAAATTAAGCAGGTTAATAGGGGAATAGCAGAAATGAGGGGCAGAAAGTACAGTATTCAGTAGGACTTCAGGGAAGGCCTCCTTGATGAGGCAGCATGAGAGTGAGCCATGAGAATCATAAATATTTTTTTCTTTTAATGTTTTAATTTATCTTTATTGTTGAAAGTATTACAAATGTTCCCTGTTTTTCCCCCATTGATCCCCTCCTTCCTGTACTCCGCCACCTCGAAGTCTTCACCACACTATTCTTTGTGTCCATGGGTTATGCATATATGCATATAACTTCTTAGGTTAATCTCTACCCCCGTACTCCCCACTCACCCACCCCTGTCTTCCCTCTGATATTTGTCAGTCTGTTCCATGCTTCTATGTTTCTGGATCTATTTTTTTCATCAGTTTATTTTCTTCATTAGATTCCACATGTGAGTAAGATTATATGATACTTGTCTTTCTCTGACTGGCTTACTTTGCTTAGCGTAATACTCTCCAGGTCCCACCATGCTGTCTCAAAGAATAAGGGATCTTCCTTTTATTACAGCTGCATAGTATTCCATATTGTAAATATCTGAGAAGATGCGTGATATGATTTCAATCTTCTTGAACCTGTAGAGACTTGTTTTGTGTCCTAACATGTGGTCTATCTTTGAGAATGACCCATGTGCACTTGAGGAGAATGTATATTCTGCAGCTTTGGGATGAAATATTCTGTAAATGTCATTTAAATCCACCTGACCTAGTGTGTCATTTAGAGTCACTGTTTCCTTGTTGATTTTTTGTCTGGAAGATCTATCCAGTAAAGTCAGTGGGGTGTTAAAGTCCCCTACTATGACTGTATTGCTGTTGATCTCTCCCTTAAAGTCCTCCAGAAGGGTTTTTTTTCTTTCTTCAGCCTGTGTGTCTTTTGTTCTGAAGTGGGATTTTTGTAGACAGCATATATTTGGGCCTTGTTTTCTTATCCATTCCCCTACCCTATGTCTTTTGATTGGAGCATTTAAATCCATTTATATCTAAGATTATTATTGATAGGTACTTATCTATTGCCATTTTATTTCTTTATGCCTATGTTTCTCACTTTCTCTATTTCAACTTCTTATTACAGTGGTCCCTTTAACATTTCTTGGAATGCTGGTTTGGTGGTGATAAACTCCTTTAGCCTTTTTTTTTTTTTTCTGGGAAGTTCTTTATTTCACCATCTATTTTGAATGATAGCCTTGCTGGATAGAGTATTCTTGGTTTCAGATCCTTGCTTTTCATTATCTTGAATACTTCATGCCATTGCCTTCTGGCCTGTAGAGTTTCTGATGAGAAATCAGCTGACAACCTTATGGGAACTCTTTTGTAGGTAACAGATTGCTTTTCTCTTGCTCCCTTTAAAATTCTCTCTTTGTCTTGAATTTGGCATTTTAATTATGATGTGTCTGGGCATAGGCCTTTTTGGATTCTTCTTACTTGTCACTCTCTGTGCCTCCTGAACTTGTGTGGCTTTTTCCTTCACCATGTTAGAGGAGTTTTCTGCCATTATTTCTTCAAACAGGTTCTCTAACTCTTGCTTACTTTCTACCTCCTCTGGTACTCATATGATGTGAATATTGTTACGTTTCATGTTGTCTCACAGCTTCCTTAAACTCCCCTCCTGTTTTTTAATTGCTTTTTCTTTTTGGTCCTCTGAGTGATTTTTTCTACCCTGTCTTCTAATTTGCGGATCAGATCCTCAGCTTTCCCTAATCTGCTGTTTATTCCTTCCAATGTATTTTTTATTTCTCACTATGTCATTCTTAATTTCCTTCATAGTTTCCATTTCTTTTCTCATGCCATTGAGCATCCTTATGATCAATATTCTGAACTCTGATAGATTGCTATCTCCATTTCATTTAGCTCTTCTGGAGAATTCTTTTGTTCTTTCATTTGGGGCTTGTTTTTTTGTCTCCCAACTTTGGCTGAGTGTTTGGATATGTTTCTATGTATTAGGTAGATCCTCTAGGACTCCCCATCTTTTGGATGGTCTATGGTGTAGGCCAGTGTCAGGTGCTGTTGGTGACTAGCCTTGAGTATCCTATTTGAAGCTTTCTGCATTCCACAGGTGGTTCCCTCTGCTGGGACTGGGTGGGTTTAGAAAAGACCAGGATGTGCACCAGCGTCTGTTTTTCCATGCTCTGGGTCCAGAAGCAAATCAGACAAAGACTCAAAGCACCCACAGACTGATTGTTATTCAGTTTTTTATGAGTCTCAGGTTGTAGAAACTCTACAGGGTGGGGTGGCTGATTGTTATTGAGTTTCTTAATGAGCCTCAGGCTGTAGAAACAAGGGGTGGGACAATGGGTTTTCCAATAGGGTGGGGCAATTTCCCCCCTCTCCCCCCGAAAAAGCTGCTTGGATAGTAAATGTCTGCCCTCTGCCATATGGGGGAATGTATTAGCACAGGAATCCAGATGGCTGCCCTCTGAGCTCTGTCCCCCAATCCAGCATTCCTGGATTCTCCTCACACAGCTCTAGTCCATTCTGCCCTCCCTGTGCCGGAGCCCAAGGTGAGTGGCTGCACATGAAACTTTGTGCATTGGCCCTTTAGGAGGGCACCTTCATTTCCAGCCATCTCTCCCTGATAGACAGGAACCCTGCTGCTATTCATAGTCAGATGTTATGTGGGTACCTTCCTCTGTTCTGGCACTCTGGGTTGGGAAGCCCAGCTTGGAGTTTACACCCCAAAGGTCTCATCAGGAACCCCCCACAACTGAGATCTCCCTCCAGATCTTCAGCTGCTGCCCGTGGGAGCACAGCCAGCCCTCTCGCGCCTATGCAGTTCCTACTAGTCTCTGTACCATCTCCACTTTACGTCCTTGGTTATGAGGGTGCTCTCTAGCTAGTCTTCAGTTGATTATTCAGAAAGGTTTTTCTATAGTTTAGTTTTAATTTCAGTTTTGTCCTGGGAGAGGGTCAGTGTAGCTTCCATTCAATATGCCACCATTTTGAAATCAACCATAAAGACTTGTTAGGGAAGAATATTTCACACAGAAAGAACAGGAAATATAGAAGAGAATTCCTAGTGTGATCAAGGAGTAGAAGGAGGGCAATGTGACTGGAGTGGAGGGATGGAGGGAAAGTGGTAGGGCATGGAGTCAGAGAGTAAGTGAGAAACAGATTTTGTGTCCCATGACAAAGGACTTTGGATCTTCTGTGAATAGGTGGGAATCTATTGGAAGATTTTGAGTAGAGGACTTATTGATCTGACTTAAATTTTCAAAGAATCTCATTCTGAAAATCCCTGGCTACTGTTTTGAGAATGGACTGTGAGAGGATAAGAGTAGAAGTAGGAAGTCATCAGTAGGCTGGTGCCATGGGATGATATGCTGCTAAATTGTGAGGAATGGTTGGGTTTTGGATATATTTCAAGGTGGGACTGACAGGATTTCCTGGTGAGGCTGGATATGGGGCGAGAAAGAAGAACCAAGGATGATTCTTAAAGCTTTTGCCCTAGGTACCTGGAAAATTGGAATTTTCATTTAATAAGATGGGAAGATTAGGGGAGAAGCAGGGTGGAGGTGAGGGAGAGGCAAGATATTTTGGCCATGCTAAGAAGAATCTAAGAAGACTGGGGGGAAAAATGTTACTAAATGTTACTTCCTCATTGCAGGTGTGACGTTGAGTGCTTCAGATCTGGTCACTATGGTACGAGAACGAAAATGCATATTGTGCAACACTGTGTACAGCTCAAAAAAGGTAATAATAGAAGAGGAAGACTCTGAGGCTTTATGACTGGTCATTTTTTCAGACATCGTATGAAATTTATAGATGGTAAAAGCTTTTAATGCTGTCTTATTTGTGCTTCTTTCTTAAACCATAGTCTCATTCCACTGGTTTCTTTTTCATTACTACCTCATAAAGCCAGTAACTATATTATTAAGCCTCTACCCAGAATTTGAGGATACTCAAAAGTAGACAATAAAGAGAAATTTAGTTAGTAGCCATTTATGGAGAAAATACCTTACAATTTAGGTTATTTGAGGTTATATCACTTTTTAATTAGCTGAGGATACAGCATTATATGCACCTGCATTCTCTTTCTGCCTGTGCTTGTGAGAAGTATAGCACAGCAGAAATGATATTAATAATATCCTAGATGTCCACAAGGTGGGGATGCTGCACAAAGAAAAACAGACATATTTAAGAACTAAAAGAATTCACCTGTGCCTTAGGGAAATTGGCTGCAAATTGTCTCACTCTTTGCTTTTTCTTGCCTTTATTCTTTGCTTTCAACGTAGTGCTGCTAGCTTCAATATTGAGTTTTTTTCTCTATGCTTTCAAGACGTTCTTTATTGTCATTGGAGATTCTCTTTATTGTCAATTCAGAGAACTGGGAAGGTTACTGTGAGCTATCATGAAAGATGTTTGGGAGTAAGATGGCTTAAAAGAAATAGAGAAGAGATATTTTAGGTGGGAGAACATGTACAAAGATACAGAGGCAGAATGGCATATAACAGTTCTAGGACTTGTAAGAAGGCTCATTTGATTAAAACAGTTTTGTCTTGGGAATAGTGGGACTGCAATTTAATTTGTGATTTAAGTGAAGACAGTTGATACACAATGTTGAGTGCAAGACCAAGGGATTTGATTATGATCCATCTAGTAGGCTGGGGTGAAGAATTTTTCCCCCCCGTATAGGATTTCTGTTAGTGATGGAAAAATCAATTGAGATTTTAAAATCGTGTTTAATAATATACCTGCTGCCTTTTACAAAAGTAAAAAACAAACAAACAAAACCCCAAAATAGCTGCTCCTGTGGTTTTAAAAAATTTAGATCAGGGTTTATATAACTTTTCAATAAACAAAAATTCTTTATTGCTACTTTCAGATTTGAGGAATGGGAAATTGAGAAGGTATAAGATGGATGGATATAGACACTCAGAGGTGTGGACTCAGATTTTGATAGAGTGGCAGCCCTATCTGTTATATCTCATAATTTTGCTATTTTAAGGCTTTTTGGCATTTCTTCTACTCTGGCTTGAAACATGTTTTCATCTCTTCATGCTTTTACATGGATCATAATGAAATTAAATCAAGGTTGGGATTGTCCACTCCTGCCTTAGGGAAAGCCAACTATAGCTTTTTAAGCAAGGGAATAGCATGATTTAAGTGTTAAGATTAATGAGTCTAAGAAATGAGAAAAATGGGTTAATTGAAAGAGATAACTCTAATACTTATTTCTAGATAGATCATGTACACCTTATGTTGAGGCAGTGCTTTCTCCTCTAGTTTCCCAAACTAGTATAACCTTGGTTTTTCCATATACACAAGGTGAAAAGGATGTTAGGGTGACATAAGTATGAGCTGTTTACTACATCCCTGAGTATCCTGATACGCATTAAAGTATGAAAGACTGAGAAGCTTGGTAACTGAGCAGGTATGCATTTGCGGCTGTTACTTTAATCCGTGCTTATGGATCTTTACCACTTATTTTGCAAGCTCAGTTGTGTCTTTGCATTCGTTCCTTACAGCAAGATGGGAGAGAATTTCATGTGTAAATTTAGGAAAAGATTTGGGAAATGTTTTAGATAATCGAAAGGTATGTTAAAATCAGTTTTGAATGATAATATTTTTATAATTGAAATAGAATATAGAATTGGTTTTTATATTAGAGAATAACTCATTTCAGTGAATATTGTTTTGGTCAGGAATGGTTTTATTGCAAGAAACAGAACTCACTTAAATTTAACTTAATAAAAGGGGATTTGGCACATGTAAATCTTTTTTATTTTATTTATTGGTTTGAGAGAGATTGATTTGTTGTTCCACTTATTTATGCATTCGTTGGTTGATTCCTTTTTAAATTTTTATTTTTTATTGATTTCAGAGAGAGGAAGGGAGAGAGGAGAGAGAGAGAAACATCAATGATGAGAGTCATTGATCAGCTGTCTCCTGCACGCCCCCCACTGGGGATCGAGCCTGAAACTGGGGCACGTGCCCTGACTGGGTATCAAACTGTGATCTCCTGGTTCATAGGTTGATGCTCAACCACTGAGCAACACTGGCCAGGCATTGATTGATTCTTGTATGTGCCTGACCCAGATTGAACTGGCAACCTTGGTGTATTGGGATGACACTCTGACCAGCTGAGCTGCCTGGCCAGGGCCCTGGCATATGTACACCTAATCTGAGGAAAAACTGAACACAATCAATAGAGGTTTGAGCAGATGTGTGTTATTCATGGATTTTTTTCATTCTATATTGTGTCACTAACTTGACTCAGTTTTCAGTTCTAACCATTCTAGTTAGTCGCCAATCACTTGTAGTAGTTAGAAGGGGTCACATGTAAAGCTGTCCCCTCCAAATGAAGCATTTGTAAAGGTGAGGAAATGGTCATCTTCAGTAAAATTCCCATTTATGGGAGTGTTTGTTGTATGCTTTTTGACAAATAAACTATAAAATGAAAAATCCCAAGGCACTAGATGCTTACAATGTAGCACGATGTTTGAAATACTGGCTTTGGTGTCAGATCTGCCAGGATTTGAGTCCCAGTTCAACCACTTGATTATCCANATGGTCATCTTCAGTAAAATTCCCATTTATGGGAGTGTTTGGTGTATGCTTTTTGACAAATAAACTATAAAATGAAAAATCGCAAGGCTCTAGATGCTTACAATGTAGCACGATGTTTGAAATACTGGCTTTTGTGTCAGATCTGCCAGGATTTGAGTCCCAGTTCAACCACTTGATTATCCATGACTCTAAGAGGGCAAGACTGGGAATGTTTTCGCACTTACCCCTTCAGTGCCTAGCTTTGTACATGATAATAAGCACTTGGTAAATGTTTGGTGAATAAATGAGTTAGCTTCTCTGCATGCTTGTGTCCTTATGAAGTGAATAATACTCCCTTAGCAGTGTGTGCAGTTCAAGTGAGAAAATATTTGAGGCACTTAAGCATAGAGCACAGTTAACAGCAATTATAATACTCAGCAATTATAGAAGCCCTTTTATTATATGTGTAAAAGCCATTCTCTAATTATGGCATACTGACTATATATATATTTTGGCATGGCAAAGGGGCAGACATTTACAACTTTTTTAGTTTTTTGAGGTATGTGCATATACATTTGAAAGTGGAAGCTCTTCCCACAGATTTAATTTCCTTCCCATGAAGGGTGGGACGGGGAGGGAGGGGAGAACGTAGTAAATTTTCAAACTTTTCTTTAGAGCCAAACAAATCAAATGGGGACAGCGGGCAGTGAAGATGAAGGCACAATTGAGCTGCTGTGTTCAAAGTAGTTTTTAAAAACTTCATGATCAACTATTGAGAAGTTCTGTTATATTCATGTTTTGTCTAGAATTGATGTATCCATCTGTTCATTCAACAGCTATTGACAACTGTTTGCCAGGCCTGGCCAAGACATGAATTTGAGTTGTAACTTACTTTTGAGAAACTCAGTTGAGTGGGGAAAGAGAGTATGTAGTCAAATAGTTGGGAAGTTATGTGATTTCAGAGGTTTTTAAAAAAAAATAAACTTTAGTAAATTCCTTATATTGGGATAGAGTTTAACCCACATAATTTATTCTTAAAGCTTTTTCCTTCTAAACACTATGCTTTCTAACCTTTTTAGAAGCCACTTGTATAGGTCTTTGTTTAAAATTCCTTTATTTAAAAATGAAATATGTCAAGAACATAACTAAAGAAGTATTTAATAAGGAACTGATTACAATGTTGAATTGAGGAAGAGTAACCAGAACAAACACTTGACACTAGGAACGTGAGCCCAAGTTGTTGATTGAACAGGAACAGACGAATTTTCCCCCCCAAAGCAATTCCCCTTAGTTTAATCTGCTTTCTTTAATTTTGAAGGAGATGGACGAACACATGCGGAGCATGTTGCATCACAGGGAACTTGAGAACCTGAAGGGCAGGTATGGGAACGGCTGTCTTCCATAAACTTGTGAATGTGGGGGGAGCTGAGTGCTGATGAGACCTGTCAGCTTATTTTATAGTAATCCTTCATAAATGAATATTATCTTATGGCATAGAACTATTTTTTAGTATTAATAACAAGTACAATAGATTTTTTGATCATTCGAAAGATTAAACCTTTGTGCATCTCAAATGTGTAGAATTTACAGCAGCTCTAGTAAATAGATTACAACAAAGGAGTATTGGGAAGAGCTAGTGCTCTCATTAGCAAGCTTTGTCATTCCTACACACCAGCCTTGCAACTAGGACATTTTATATTATTGTCCCAAGTTATTTTATATTATTGCCCCATTTATATTATATTATTACATTTTATATTATTGCCCCATTGTTACAAGTTATTGCATGCAATAAACCTTTAGTGTTGCTAGAATAGTCTGAGAAGTCTAGAGTCTGCAAAATAGTACTGAATCTCATTAGTGTAAATGAAATCAAAGTACAGATCTTGAGTTTTTAAGAATGCTGTTTTGTGATGTAAGGCTTGAGATGTTTAAGGAAAGAAAGTATAAGCACCTTTAAAAAATTATATGTAGCATATGTGTATATTTCATGTCATTTCCCCCCCCATCTGTGGTTCCTTTTTTGATGTTTTGACTTCTGTGAACTTGAAATTTGAAGACAGCATGAAAGAGAAACATTGGGAAACTGAGAAATATTAATTATATCCTATTCCATGCATAACAGTTACAAGCTTTGATCAGGATGCCAACCTAAGCTATTTGGAGTTATATGTATTTTAAGTAATAAAGTTTTAGATTGTGTGGGCAAATTAATATGTTATTAAACTTTCAGCAACTGTTTAGCGTATTAGTAGAATTTTTCCATGTTCTCAGTCCCTTACTGTGTGAAGGTCTTAACAGCAATCTGAAAGAGCCTTTCACTCAGATTTAGTGTGGAGAGCCCTTATAATACCTTGAATATATATCACTTTAACTCATTATTATTGGAAACCTCTGAAATACAGTCAGCCTTCGACTATATGTGGAATATCTTAATTACTTAGTCCCGTTTCCAACAAACTTCTTTCTGGAATTCACCTTATTCTGGGCTATTTACCTGTCACCTGACTATATTATGAAAAAAAACAAATGAGGTCAATAAATCTAGTCATTAGGGGAGAAGCCCATTTTATTTGAAGATTAATGCCTGTTATATTCAGAGATCACTAATCAGGTATTTAAAACACTTTGTTAATTTTGATTACTTAAGATTCATATTCATAATCAATACAGAATTATAGAAAGTAAAAAAAAAGTAGAAGTTGTCTAACGCCCTTCCCCCCAGCTCCTATTCCCGTTGGAGGAAAGTCAGTAGTGTGGCATATATCCTATCACCTCTTTCTGTGCGTATATGGAGATTTATATTTGGCTATGCACACACATTTTGTCTTAATTATGTAACTGAACCACATACTCCATATGTACTGCTCTGCTGTTTTTCCTCTCCTCCCACCCCATTTTGTTATTTGGAGTATGGTCAAATAATTAAAGAGAAAGCATTAGAAGCTTCTGAGCTGACAATATAAATGTCATTGTTAACACCCAAACTCATTTTATTTAAAGGAGATCATTTTAGTACTTATATACTAATTTTTTAGATACAGTGCTAATAAATTTTATATAGTTTTCTGGCCTGTGACAGATTGCAAGGGAGAAGGCAAGCAGGTAGCAACAAAAAACAGCTCACAAAACTATAAAAAACAGATAAAATCTCAGATCATTTACTTACTTGGAGCATTTATTGTAGGGACAGTCGTTAGTTTACACCGTAGGGACAAGTAGTTATTAGTTATTATTTCTTTTTCTTTCTATCATCAGTTTGTGATTTTTTTCCCCCCTCTCTGGATTCCATGTTTAAATAGTGGCTTTCTGACGTTAAGGCTTTCTGTTTCGCTTTATATTTGTATCACTATAACTTTTGGTTGTGATCTAGTTAAAAATGTAAAGAGCATATTTTTTTAGGTTTTGAATGCCAGCTTGATTGAGAAGTAAAAAACTTGTCTTATTTGGTTCACAGTTGTGGACATCTGGAGCATTTCCTTATTTTATCCTAATATACTTGTTCAGATGTTTGGACTGTAAGTAGTTTATACAGATAGATGCTATTAAAAAGGCACAAACCTTTATTTATCAACCAGCTGTTGTGGTATAGTTAGAGCAGGCTTAATAAAGAAACGCTTATGGATAGAATATCTTAAGGCTTTGCCTTTCTCATAGGAGAGGAAATTGTGTGGTAACAGGATGAAGCTAATTTGGGCCCTTTACACGCCCTGAGGAGAATTTTTGCCTTTATTAGTCAAGAAGTAAAGCAGTACTTTTTTCCAACAATTACTTTATATATTTATACAAACTAGTATTTTAATTGGTTATTGGTCAATAACTGAAAAAGTGTCATCATTAAGATATTACTTAATTTGCTGTTAACTTTTTAAAACATGTGCTTTACCAAACACCATCTATGGAAGCATGAATGCATACTGTGTGTGGAATATGCTTGCCTCCAGACACAGATACTTTCGAATTTTCAAGACGTAGTTGACCTACTCCAATCTTTCCATAGATGAATATGGATCCTCTTTTCTCCTTTAGAGCTAAAGCTTCTCTATCTGTTTTTACAACTAGGTTTCATTTATAAGAAAAATGTTAGGGATTTCTGTTTTTTGATAAATTGTTTTTAGTGTTAACTTTTATGTTGCCTGTACCCTCCTGGGCAGGATCTCTTGAGGTGTTTTTCTATTGAGTAACTTTGGAACTATGGTTAATAGTTTTTGCAAGGAAAGCAGAGATGTTTTTAAAATCTGTGTTTAAGTATCTGTTACATGTCCAACATATGCTTGTGCTTTGGAGATTGCAAAGTGTGTGGGTTTATGAACATAAACATTTATTTTTAACAGAGTTAAATACCATCTACACTACATTCCTAAATGTTTTAACAAGTCAGTGTGACCTTCCAGTTATGTCTAAAGTGAGAGGGATTTTGATAGTTTGGATATGAGAAAAATTCTCTGCACTTTAGAAGGAAGGGTAAAATCAGGGGTTTTACTTGGGAGTACTTTTTAAAGTGATGTTCCTGTATACTGCAGTATACAGGTTAGCATTCTATAAGCTTTTAGGTAGAAAAGTAGACTAAAAGATGTTCCATAGTTTTGGAGAGTTTAAACTTTAAAGCCAAAAAGATTTTCTAACCAGAAAATCCAGTTGATTCAAATTTTATTATAGTATAAATTATGTATTCTAGGTTAGTTACAGTCTTCAGAGTCTTTTGATGCTGCCATTTGGGGACATATATATATATATTTTAATCCTCACCTGAGGATAATTTTTCCATTGCTTTTCAGAGAGAGAGGAAGGGAGAAAGAGAGAGAGAGAGAGAGAGAGAAACATCAGTGTGGGACAGAGACATCGATTGGTTGCCTTCCTGCAAGCTCCCTGACCTGGGTGAGGGCTGGAGCCTGCAACAGAGGTACGTGCCCTTGGCCGGAATCGAACCTGGGACCCTTCAGTCTGCAGGCTTACGCTCTGACCACTGAGACAAACCGGCTAGGGCTATATTTATATATTTTAAACTTCTTTCAATGTTGCTGTGAGAAAAGGCTTGTTTTCTATTACAAGTTAATGTTCACTTTGAATGAGCTACCATAATTTTAATTGCATGAGAGAAGAGTATGACTATCCCTGATAAATTGGATAAAGTTGAGGATTATTATTCTTTAAGTATATAAATGTAGTGGAAAACTCTCAGTGAAAACAATGTGATAGAGTTCCTCGAGGATTAGAAGGAATTAGAATATTGATACTCAGGGTAATCAGGTAAGGATATTTTCAGGGAACCTACTTAGAACTCATTAAAATGAATCTTAATGTCAAAAACTATATTGTATCCAGATTTAAGGTTACAAAGTCCAAAAAACTTTACTGATTTTTCTTATTTTTTTGAGGTATTTTCTATGATTCTTACAAAATAAAATATAGTGTGTATGTGTGTTTTTAATTTACTGGGCATACTGGGCATTTTTTTATTTATACTTTGTTACCATAGACAACTGTAACCATCTACATATCATGGTGCCTAGAATTTAGTAGTTGCTCAATAAGTTGTGTGTGTAGTTTTTTTTTTTTTAATGACTGTTTTCAGGTGATCTATAACTAGTAAATGAAGTACTTAGTTTTGAAGGTCTCTTCTGGTTAATTTATATGAATTCTGCCATGTCTTGATAGACATGTGAGGGGAAGATGGAGTAGTTTATGTGTGTCTGTGTCTGTTTTATCAAAGACAGCATGTCTTTTTTTTTTTTGAGATTGGCATAGGAAGTGCAGAAGTATCACTAGTGTAACCCAGATCACTAGTGTAAGACAGATGATAACAGTTAAGCCAATTTGGATTGTGGAATGGATATTATTGTCCATTATATCAGGGGTCATAATGTTCAGATGTTTCTCATCAATGCCCACATAAACAGCTGAACCAATCAAGGGATTTCAGGATGCTGAAAAAGCAGTTTAATTATTCATCTATTATAGCTTCTTAAACTGGCCAAGGGTGAGCTTTACCATGAAGTGGGTAAAGTAGACAGAAAAAAAAAAGTCTGCTCAGTTTTCTTAACTAAAAACCTGGTTTTGTTTCTCTCTAAACTGTAGCATTTTCTGAAACTTGAGAAAAACCATTTGCCTAGCACAGCTGTTGACTTCCTACAACTGAAATGTTTTCCATTCCCTTTAAAATAAGCCCTTCTGATGCAGAATGTAGACCACATGTATCATGCAGACCAAAAAAGTTTGCTGAGACTACTCTGATCGGTTGCCCTGGGTCCGGAATCTTCACATTCCAGGCAGAGCTCCAGCTGCTCCGATTTAGTTCCCTCGTTTGGATTGGCTATGCTGCCTACTCTTTTCTCCACCCCTTAACTTTCACTGGGAGAAAGTTCTTGAGCGAGAGATTAAATGTAAGTGCTGTCACCAGGCTTTCTGAGTGCAGCTGGCACCATGGGTGTGCTACAGAGCAACTTCTGTTTGCTCTGAGCCCCCTGCCCTGCCTCCCCTTTCACCATGTTTCCTCTGGCAAGATTTTAAGTACAGCAATTCAAGAAGATTTCTCCTCCTAAACGACATTATTCTGAAGCGTATTGCCTCTTGATTGCTGGAAAAGAATCTTAAATTCATTTCAAAAGTAACTTATGAACAAACTTATTAAAAGGGATGAAAGGACCATTGAAGTTGATTAGCACTAATTTTCCACTGTGCCAAAGTGCTCGGTGCCTTTCCGAGGAAACTATAGCAGATCTGGTGAGTGTGCCATGCCAGTGGGGAGAATTGAATGTCCCTCATCTCCCTCTTTCCCTAGGGACAGCAGTCATGAGTGCCGGGTATGCGGGGTCACAGAAGTAGGTCTTTCCGCATATGCAAAGCACATTTCTGGCCAGTTGCACAAAGATAACGTTGATGCCCAGGAAAGAGAAGATGACGGAAAGGGAGAAGAAGAGGAAGAAGATTATTTTGACAAGGAACTCGTTCAGTTAATAAAACAAAGGAAAGAACAAAGTCGGTGAGTAATGATTGTAGTTTTTTTCAAGTGCCCATCTGAAACAGCATAGTAGAGAATACATTTTTCATTTCCATCCTTGTCAGCCTATAGCATTCAACCTTATCTTAGTTGTGAAGTTTAACTTGCAGTTGCTGTCTTATGCGTAAAAGGGCAACAGAATGCTTTCCTGAACTACTATACTGTCTGCTTTAAAGAGAACTCAGTGGTCTTCCTGCGTAAAGCTAGCTATCACTGCTACATCTCTGAAATTTTTACTATGTTAACTATGTTTAGGACTGTTTTTATTCCAGAGATTTTGGATACTGATAAATTCTATTTATTTGATACCCAAATTTTCTAGTGGAAAGGTATTAGTATGTAAGCTTCACATGAATATTTTATATAGTCTTATTGCATCCCTTAGGAAAAACTGTTTTGCCTAATTGAATTAGCTGGTGCTTCTACCAAATTTGATGTATCCTTTTATTATTAAGTGCTTTAATACTTATTGAATAAACTTATATTTTAAATTTGAGTACTAGTTATATCTGGTCTGTACTTCATTTTTAGAAGTTTGAATGCAAAAAGAAAGTAATTTTTACTCTATATGCCAAAAGCTTCCTGAACATGTCCTTGAAGGAGACTTTCTTAGTTTTAAAATGTTACTGGCAACTTGGTTCTTAAATTGTTCAGTCCTTCAAATGACATAGTCACTACTTTCAGTATAGCTATAGTTGACTCTTGTTTTAAGGTATTGGAGCCTCTAGGAGACTAACTTCTATTTTGGCTATTATGCTCTTGTGCCACTGGTAGCTTATCTGTATAAATGATTCAACATTAAGTCAGAGGGTAAAAGAGCTTCTCAGTAAATTCATATTATAGTTAACTTCTAATTATTATAGTTAACTTCTAATGTTACAGACAGTAGAAACTTTTAGAGCCAACTAAAGTCAGTACTGAGTTTAAGATTTATGTCAAGTTCAGAGGAGGGAACCCAACTACAGAAATTTTGTTTTGGAATTTTCATTCAATCAAGGCCTACTGGTTAAGAATGTAGACTCTAGAGTAAGACTGCCAAGGTCCAAATCTCTGCCATACCACTTACTGTCTGTGGTATTCTGTGCAAGTTACTTCCTTTTTTAAAAAAAATATATCTTTATTGATTTAAGAGAGAGGGAGAGAGATAGAAATATCAATGATGAGAGAGAGTCATTGATTGGCTGCCTCCTGCACGCCCCTGGCTGGGGACCAAGCCCGCAACCCTGGCATGGGCCCCGACTGGGAATCGAAGCACGATCTCCTGGATCCGAGGTCGATGCTCAACCGCTGAGCCGCACCTGGCCGGGCTCAAGTTACTACCCTAATCCTCAGTTTCCTCAGCTAAAAAGTAGGAATAATAATACTTGCTTCAGAATTGTGAGAATTAAATGAGATAATCTGTATAAAATTCTTAGCATTAAATGCCTGACACTTAGTAGGTAGTCAATAAATTTTATCTAGTATTCCTCTTTTTTTTTTTAGCACCTACCATATGCTAAGCACTATGCTTGGCATATCATAGGAAGTTTGTAGAAGAAATAGTTTTACACATATTCCTGTGATGTTTGCTTAAATTCATTCACATTTCTACAGGCTCCTTATCTAACAAGAATAGTTCAAAGAGCTGTAGCTTCTTCATAAAATCCTCCAGCACAGAGAGCTCCTTAAAGCATTTATTGTGGGTGCTGCTTATTTGGTTTTTGCTATTTTACTCCTGTTTGTGACCTTATTTTCTGAGCTAGGTTGTAAGCCCTTCAGGAACAGGAAAGGAGCATAAAAGTTTTCATTCACCGCTAACAGTCATTGAATGTGTGCTTGATAAAGTGTTTATTAATGAACGTGATTATGCATAGTAAAAGCTTACCATTTAAAATAGGTTAAGAAACTGGGTTTTTCAGAAGGAACCAACAACTGGAGAAATAATGGTATTAAGAGCAGCTGAACTTAAATTGTGTTAACTATGATAACTAACCATAGCTACAAAATATAATTGTTTTTATTTTCAAAAAGCTGTGTAATGTAAATATAATAATTGGATGATAGGGACAAAAATCCCAGAACATGCCAAGAAAAACAGGAATAAGAAAAGGAGTATAAATGTGTCAAACTTTTAATATTTCTGGGGTGAGAGGAGAAACAAGATACTGTTTAATTTCTAATTTGATAAATTGTGAATATAAGTTTATATCATTTAAAGATATGAAAGCAACCACTATTAGAAATAAAAATGGACTCGCTATTACATATTCTAAGTAACAGGGGAGGGAGGTCGGGAAGTTTGGTGGGTTATGCCTTTAAAGGAAATATAAGAATTTCTTTAAATCAGTAATGAAAAACTTTTTCTTCCAGACAAGATGAACCCTCCAATAGCAGCCAAGAAATAAAATCTGATGATAGGCGGCTCCAACGGAGACGAGAAGACAGAATCCCTTACCAAGACAGAGAGAGCTACAGCCAGCCAGCATGGCATCATCGGGGACCTCCTCAGCGGGATTGGAAGTGGGAGAAAGAGGGCTTTAGTAATACTAGGAAAAACAGCTTTGCACATTCTTTAAGGAATGGTGGTGGACCAAGAGGATGTTCTGGGTGGCATAAGGGTATTGCAGGAGGCTCCTCTACTTGGTTTCATAACCATAGTAATTCTGGAGGTGGTTGGCATTCAAATAATGGAACAGTAGATTGGAATCACAGTGCTACAGGAAGGAATTCCAGCTGGCATTCTGAAGGAACAGGTGGCTTTTCCAGTTGGCATATGAACAGCAGTAACGGAAACTGGAAATCCAGTGTACGCAATACAAATAGTTGGAATTACAGTAGCCCCGGAGACAAATTTCAGTCAGGCAGAAACAGAAATTCTAACTGTCAAATGGAAGACATGACTAAGCTATGGAACAAGAAATCTAAGTCAAACAAATACAATCCAGAGAGATACAATTGGCAGCGGCAAGAAAATGACAAAGTTGGTACAGTTGCCACATACAGAGGTCCTTCTGAAGGATATACAAGTGATAAATTTTCTTCACAAAGCTTATTTGATTTCAATTTTGAGCAGCCGGAAAGCCAAACCAGTAAACAGACAGAGAGTATAGTTTCCAAAATTGGTGGAAAGAGTGGCAGCGTAGCAAGGGAAAAGCTCCGTCGCTGGACTCCGTACCCATCCCAGAAGGCTCTGGATTTACAGTCAGGAATGAAAGAAGTAACTGGTAACAAGTCAGAAATGATAGATAAGCCTTTTTTTGATTTTACCTTAATCCTAGGAACACAAGAGCTCCAAATTGATGAGACAAATAATTCCCCAACATTGAAAACGCAAAAAGAAACACATACTGGATCGCTTAACCACAAAACCACTTCTGACTGCATTACAGGAAAACCTGAACAAGCGCGTAACTTAAATAAGATGCCATCATTGAAATCCCCACTTCTTCCAATTCCAGTCACTAAATCAGTCCCTCAAAAGCAAGATTCAAAGAATCCCTCAAAAATCACCAAAGCGAATTCTTTTTCCCCCGGAGAACATTCAAATTCCTTGAACAAACACACAGAGGAAGACAGTCATGGTTCTTCTTACATGTCTAAATTGCAAACTTCATGTCCTCGTGGTTTAAAAGGGAATAAAAGTAGATTTGGTACTCAGAGGGAACCTGATGAGAATTTAAGTGATACACTACAAAAAGCCAAAGAGGTGCTGCAGTTTCATGAGACATTGCAAAATCCACTTAGCACTTCTAAAAGGATTAGGAACTATGAAAAAGCAGGTAGGAACGTAGAAGAGTCTGAAAAAGGGTCTTTGAAGATTGAGTTTCAAGTACACTCATTAGAAGATGAAAGTGATGGAGAGATATCTGACACAGAAAAGCACGGAACAAAAACTGGAACCCTGGTTTCTGCAACTACAGAAGCCTTATCTTGCAGCACTCACGGTGCTGATCAGAAGGAGGGAGATGACCAAAACCTGAAAACATCTAGAAAACTATCCACTTCCCCGTGCGAGTCAGTAGTTCACCAGAAAGAATCTGAGTTACAAATGACATCTGCAGTCAGTCCACGCGCTGGCTTATTGCTAGATTTGAAAACCTCGCTAGAAGACGTACAGGTTGATGACTCTGTTAAATCTCATGTATCTTATGAAACAGAGGGCTTTGAGAGTACTGGCTTGGATGCAGATCTTCAAAAGAGCGATATAGCTCAGCCCTCAGGCCTTCTCCTGCCCGAACTAAGTAAACTTGGCTTTCCTGCCTCACTCCAAAGAGATCTCACCCGGCACATTAGTTTGAAGAGCAAAACTGGAGTGCACCTTCCTGAGCCAAACCTCAACAGTGCTCGCCGCATTCGCAATATTAGTGGTCATCGGAAAAGTGAAACAGAGAAGGAATCTGGGCTCAAGCCAACCCTTCGGCAGATTCTAAATGCATCTCGGAGAAATGTCAACTGGGAACAGGTCATTCATCAAGTAACCAAGAAAAAGCAAGAGCTAGGCAAGGGCTTACCTAGGTATGTGCCTCTTTTCAGTATCATTTCTCTTTCTTTTAAGCTTACCATTTGACCCTGATCAAGAGAATTCTTGTTACATTTAATTAAATGTTTGTGAAAAATATGTGTGCCCTGCCTGGGTAGCTCAGTTGGTTGGAGCGTTGTCCCAGGTTGTGGGTTTGATCTTTGGTCAGGGCACATATAAGAATCAACCAATGAATGCATAAGTCATGGAACAACAAATCGATGAATTCAGGTTAAAAATTCAGGTCATTTCTACTTCTGAGAAATGAGATGGGGACATAGAAAGAAAAAAACAGAAATCCAGCACTTTGGTTTTAGGGGCCAGAAAATAACAGCATTAAAAAAGTATATCGCCCAGCTGGGCATGGCTCAGTGGTTGAGCATTGACCTAGGATCCAGGAGATCGCGGTTTGATTCCCAGTCAGGACACATGCCCGGGTTGCGAGTTTGATACCCGGTTGGGAACATGCAGGAGGCAGCTGATCAATGCCTCTCTCATCATTGATGTTTCTATCTTTTAAAAAAAAGACACTGCCTTTAAAAAAAAAGTATATAAATCTGCTCCTTATCTTTAGATCTTAATTAAGTGGTGCAACTTTAAGTATAACTGTTCTCATTACCTTTTACTTAGAACCTATGGATTGTTACCCTTCTGTATTTACTATGGGCATTAGGTTTGTGATCACAAAGTATTTTCTCTTAAGTACTTGTGTAACATGTTGGCTCATCACCTGATGTTGAGGTAAAGCAGCATTCAGCCTGGGTTCATCACCTGATGTTGAGGTAAAGCAGCATTCAGCCTGGGTTTGCTACTTGAACATCAATCTACTGCATTATTATTATATAGCCCTCCGGGCTTAAATTTTGATCCTTATTGAAATAACGTGTTTATTGTGTCCCCTTTTCCTTTTCCATAGCTTGTGAGTATTGAGATTACAAATATAAGGTTCTGCCTTGGCCCGTGTCGCTCAGTTGGTTGAGCGTCATCCTGTGCACTGAAAGGTTGCCGGTTCAGTTTCTGGTCAGGGCACATACCCAGGTTGTGTGTGTTTGATCCCTGGTCGGGGTGTGTACAGGAGGCAACATATCGATGTTTCTCTCTCGCTCCTCCCTTCCTCTCTCTTTTTAAAAAAAATCAATAAAAAACATATTAAAAAACAAATAGAAAATTCTTAGTATAATGTCTGGCACTTGTGAATGCTTAGTATACATTTTTATTTGTTTTGATTTATTTGCTATTAAAATTACATACTTGTTGGTTTCAAGCTCTATATTAAACAAAACCTTCCATTTTTACTCTCAAATGTATTCTTATAGCTATATACTAATCTTGAATTTAGACATACTTCTCTCTGTTTTGATTTATAGAACTTATAATGCAAAACTTATACTGTGGTTATTTATGTCTGTAAAGCTCTGACTGTGAGCTCCTCATGGGCAGAAATCATCTTACTTATATTTGTCACAGTGCTTAACAGAGTCTGGCACATTAAGTGGTGCTCCCTTCTGTCAACCATGTTGGATTTATGATTTTTTTTTCTTTCTTAAGGTTTGGCATAGAAATGGTGCCTCTAGTTCAAAATGAACAAGAGGTCTTGGATTTGGATGAGGAGCCTGATCTGTCCAGTCTAGAAGGATTCCAGTGGGAAGATATTTCGATTTCTTCATCTCCTGGGTTGGCAAGGAAGCGAAGCCTTTCTGAGAGCAGTGTGATCATGGACAGGGCTCCTTCTGTATATAGCTTCTTCGGTGAGGAAGGTGTAGGCAAAGAAAATGAGCCCCAGCAGATTTTTTCACATAGTAACTCATTGAGGGCTACACAGAGTCAAAAAACAACGGTGGGCCTTAAGCAGGAAGTGACGCCTCTGGCTGCCTCCCTAAGAACAGGTGAAAGGGCTGAAAATGTTGGTGCTCGCAGGCGACACAGTGCACAATTATCCTCTGACTGTACAAAATCTTTGATGCATTTGGCAAAAGACCTGAACAGCCAGGAGAGTTCTGGACCGCCTTCAGAGAATCAGAATGCCAAGGAGAGTAATGGAGAAGGAAACTCTTTATCATCAAATGCATCCTCAGCTCTTGCAGCCTCCAGTTTGGCAGATGCCGGCACAGACAGTAGCTGTACCTCTGGTGCTGAACAAAATGATGGTCAGAGCATTAGAAAGAAACGAAGAGCCACTGGAGTGAGTATGATTCCCTGTGTTTTTTGTAGAACATTTTATGTGGTGACTTGGAGGTTGCAAGAAAGACTTAACTGTTTAATTTTTCTTGGGTGTCTAGGGTTGTGGTTCTCCCTACTCTGGAATAGAAGACTTGTAAGGTTCTTACTGTTACTTTCAGTTTATTCTACTGGTTTCTTTCACTGAGTAATTCTACTGAGTTACATGTAATTGAATATGAATGTACAGTACCAGGAAAATATGAAGTCATCTCTAAAATTAGTCTTCAAGTCAATCATTTTTGTATCACCTGACAAGGAGTAAACCACATCTTCAGCTGTAACTTTATCTGTTTCCATGATGCATTCTGAACTGCTCTGAAGAAAGGCATTCTAGTGTTGCCTTTGGAGAGCATGTAGGCTTATTGGATCCAGGAGCTTTAGGCTTAACACCAAGAAAATTTTAATACTAATAGAGTGCAGCTATATGAGCATAGTCTTAGAAATATTTATAGTCTCTGTTACTCTATCTTTCATGCTTCATTTATCCAGCCTGGCCTTTCAGAATTTATTCCTTCTCTGTCACCACTTCGGTTCTGGCATCTCTGTTGCTAATATTGCTTGACCCTTTCAGGAACCCTTTCTGAAAAGAATTGTGATAGTGATACAGTCTGGAATCTGGCACTGTGAGAAAATGGGCTGTTCCCTTTAATACTGAGGCAGTGTAATATAGTAGAGTAAATAAGGGCCTAGGCTGTAGACCTGGATTCAAATTCCAACCCTGCCCCCCTTTGAGGTAGACACTGTAGTGGACATTGTTGGGTGAGAGATTGTCCTGTGACAAAGCTAATATCTTGGGGCTTATTTCAATAGACTAGCTTTTTATTGTAAAGATTTTATTGATGAAATATAAAATAGAGACTGTGCCATGATGAAATCAGATATATGTATCACTGGCATTGTCCATACTTCTATGTCTTGCTTTACCAAGGTTTGAAATGCTTTGCCCTTGCCATGTGGGCTTTACCACTTCTAGAATGCTAGGAAGGTACTTGACCTTAGATTTTTTAAAAATCATATACATTTATTCAACTAATATTTTAGTTCATACCATGTGCTTGAGATTCCTACTACTATCCTGTTAGAGATGGTAGGTATAATGAAGACTATTATATAACTATCTCAGAACTGATTTTTTTCCCCTTCTGGATAATGGCCATTATGTATTTAATATTATTCAATTTTCTGTATTTCCTCAGGATGGATCTTCTCCTGAACTCCCAAGTCTTGAGAGAAAAAATAAAAGAAGGAAAATTAAAGGAAAGAAAGGTATAGTGCAGAATATTCTGGCAGAAAGAAATTATTCTCTTAGCCCTTTTATAACTTGATATAGTATAGCTTATGGTTGTCAAACACTGATTGTCCATTTATTATTATTATTTTTTACATTTTTGTTGTCTTGCTTAGTGGCATAGACAAGTTTGATTTTCTATTATATACAGTTGCAGCTATAGAAGAAATGCATGGTGCCACATAGATCTGTAAGCTAAAGTTAATATATATCTTGGACAAATTGAGTTCATTATAAAATCAGAAAGTCTCCATTGGGCCTTTTCAGTGAGATGAAGAGGAACAGGCCTTCAGTAAATTTTTGTCCATTCTGGTTCAATTTAGCCATTTCTTTTATTTTTGAGGCATTTATTTTTGAGGCATCTTGGTTGCTTTTCTCATATGAGTTAAGGAGAGAAGTTATTAAGGTGGCTCCCTGGCTGATATGCTTTTACAACACTTGCTTTCCACTGACTCTTACCCTGATCCAGTATAATAGCTAGTGTGGAAAGTGATTGGATGAGCCTTGGGTGATTGGAAGTGACACATAAGGTACAAGTCAAGGATGACCCCAGTTTCTGGCTGGGGCAACTGTGTGGATGATGTATCATTTGTAGAGTAGAAAACTCCATGAGAGGAACAGCTTGAGAATAGAGTAAGGTGACAAGTTCCCTTTTGGATCCTTGAGTTAAAGGACTTTTAGAGACACCTAGGTAGAGATATCAAGTTAGTAGTTGGATATGTGGGTCTGGAGTTTAGGAAAGAGGTCCTGGCATATTGAATGGGAAAGAGACAAAGATGACATACATACACATAGCAGAACATTTTATTTAAAGTAACTTAAGTGTACTATTTTACAGCTATATCTCCTTCAGGAAAACTTCTGTAATAAAGATAACTATATTAGCTAACAGACTAGAAAAATATGGATTGGGCAGAGTGTGCAAGTAGAACAGGCCTGGGGCCCAATCTAAGCAAAAGCCCTGGGTGAAGAGGGTGGTAGGCAAAGGAAGAAAGGGAAATGAAAACTACAGCAGTTTTTTGCTTGGGACAAAGATTTCACTGGAAGGGTAGTGGTGGAAAATTGTTATTAGGTAAGAAGGTACCATGTGGTGGTACTTGTGAACTTTTGAGGCACTTTCATCTTAACCAATTCTCACTTTTGGTTTCTAGCTCTGACAGCATACTGTTTAACTACATGACTTGTAAGATTTGGTGAGGCTCCAGTACCTATTGGGGAGAAAATAAAGGCTTATCCTAGATAACTGATATAGTTCCATCTTCTGAGGTGCTGTATTATTAAATATTAAAGGGAAGTCTCCAGTATTAAACCAAGGCTCATGGTTTCTTTTGGCAGAACGTTCCCAGGTTGACCAGCTGCTGAATATTTCTTTAAGGGAGGAAGAACTAAGCAAGTCATTGCAGTGCATGGATAACAATCTTCTGCAAGCCCGTGCAGCACTTCAGACAGCTTATGTTGAAGTTCAGAGGCTACTTATGCTCAAGCAGCAGGTAACAAACAGCTGATGGAACATTTAATGAGAATCGATCATCTCTAAAGTCGGATTTGAAAATTTATAACAAAATACTTTATTTTTAGATAACTATGGAGATGAGTGCACTGAGGACCCATAGAATACAAATTCTACAGGGATTACAAGGTATTTGGAGAGAATGTGATGGATTGGGCCCTCTGTAGCCTGTTACCTTTTTTTCCTCTATAGAGGGGAATTAAAGTAGTCATTAAAAGTCATGATTTCTCTCATGTCTCTTTGGTTCCATTCTTCTATTGAAAGGCCTGTGAGACTTTACATCCCCAAATGCTGAGCAGTGGGGGCAGTATGTTACAGAAAGAACCTTGGGTTAGGCATCAAAAGACCTGGGTTCAAATCTTGGCTCTTCCATTAGTTACCTATGTGACTTTGGATAAGTCACTGAAATATGAGAAATTAGATTATTAATTCCTGTTCTGTCTGTATCCTTGGTGGTTATGTAGATATATGACAACTATTTTGAAGGACTTTAAATTCTCTTGTAATCTTTAAAAACACACTTTGGCTTAAGAAACAAGTGACCTTCAGATATCATTTTTGCATTTGTATATATGTATATTTTCCATTCCAGAAACATACGAACCTTCTGAACGCCCATACCAGGTTCCCTGTAGCCTTACACGAGAACAAAGGAGCAGTAGATCTCAAACATCTGCTGATGCCACGCTGCTGCCTACTCCCTTTTTCCCAGTTTTTCTGGAGCCTCCATCTTCCAATGTGTCTCCATCATCCACAGGAGTTCCTTTCCAAGTAACCACATCTCCTACTTTCCAAGCCCATGGCAGCGTTCCTGCTCCAGACTCATCAGTTCAGATTAAACAAGAACCTATGTCTTCTGAACAAGATGAGAATGTGAATGTTGTGTCACAAGGCTCTCTTTGCAATGTGTCCAAGGAATTACTGCAAGGTAATAGTATATATACTTTTCTCTGGTATACGGGCAACCCTGTAATGTGTCTAGGGCAATTTTATATCAGTGATGTTAAGTTATACTTGCCCATTAAACTGAAGTTATTACAATTAATTTTTCCTGAGGTTTTCTTCATTCATGAAAATTATTTAAATATCAATAATCTTTCCTAAATGTTCTCTAATATAGAATTACCAATTTGACTTTGTATTACCACCTTTTTAAAAGATTCCATTTATTAGCATTGGTGCAGAATTATTTAGTTTTGGGGAAATAAATGGGATTGGTATTTTTCAGTCAGTTTTCTAAATAAGTTATGTCCTCTGAATGTCTCAGCAGTTACTGTTGTTGTTTTTTTTTAAAATATATCTTTATTGATTTCAGAGAGAGGAAAGGAAAGGGAGAGAGAGAGAGATAGAAACATCAATGATGAGAGAGTCATTGAGCCCGCAACCCGGGCATGTGCCCTGACCGGGAATCGAACCCCGATCGCCTAGATCCTAGGTGGACGCTCAACCGCTGAGCCATGTCCAGCCAGGCAGCAGTTACTGTTTTAATCATCTAAAGTACAAGTCAGGATTAATATAAGCCTGAGAGGCAGGTGGCCATGATGAAAGGCAGAGGGGGCTCTGGGGTTTGGAATCATCTAATAGGAACTTGGGTGGTTTTGAGAAATAGCCAAGGTAAAATTTTAGTCTTTACATAAAATAACACTCAACTTGCCCTAGCTGGTTTGGCTCAGTGGTTAGAATGTCAGCCCATGGACTGAAGGGTCTCAGGTTCAATTCCTGCCTAGGGCATGTACTTTGTTGTAGGCTTGGCCCCAGGTGGGATCATGTGTGGGAGGCAACCAATTGACGTGTCTCTCTCACATCGGTGTTTCTCTCTCTCCCCCCCTCCGCCCTCTCTCCCTCCCCCTCTCACTCTCTCCCTTCCTCCCTCCCTCCCTTCCATTCTCTCTGAAAAGCAATGGAAAAAAATATCCTTGCATGAGGATTTAAAAAAATAATAACACTCACTTGGTTACCATTTGAGAATAACTTCTGAACAACTTAAAATCTTATCTGAAGTTTGCATAACCCCAGTGGTGCTATATTAATAATTAAGTAAAAAGTAAACAAATTGACATTGTTTGATTTCTTGAGCCAAAATAAAAACTCTGAAGAATTACTCTAGATTTTGCTACCTGTTGCAACACTAATCTAGATATCTGTATCAACTGGATGTTATCTTTCATATTGAATTTTGTTACTATTATATGTATATTATTTAGTATTTTCCTTAAAAAACTAGTAATGAAGAATATAGTGACTTTTTAAGCTAATTTTTTTAAAAAGCTTTTATTAGATCTCTTTTACTGATTGCAAAACTGATTTATGTTGCCCTGGCTGGTGTGGCTCAGTTGAGTGTTTTTCCATGCACCAAGAGGTTGCTGGTTTCATTCCCAGTCAGGGCACATGCCCAGGTTTCAGGCTTGATCCCCCAGTGGGGGGGTTGGCAGCAATTGATGTTTCTCTCTCATCAATGTTTCTCTCTCATCGATGTTTTTCTCTCTCTCCATACCTCCCTTTTTCCTTCTCTAAAATCAATTTAAAAATTAAGAATTAAAAACCCCTCACAAAACTGCCTGGCTGGGCGTGGCTCAGCTGTTGAGCGTCAATCTAGGATCCGGAGATCGGGGTTCAATTCCTGGTCAGGGCACATGCCCGGGTTGTGGGCTCGATCCCCAGTCGGGGGCGTGCGGAAGGCAGCCGATCAATGACTCTGTCATCATTAATGTTTCTTTCTCTCTCTCTCCCTCTCCTTTCCTCTCTCTGAAATCAATAAAGATATATTATAAAAACAAAACTAATTTATGTTCATTGTAAATACTTGGGTAACTAAAAATCTAGATGTGTTCCAAAAAATGCATACACTCACTTAATTTTCACTCCTTTTCAGGTTTAACTGATTTGAAATAATAGGTGAAGCCAGACTAAGCTTTGAACAAAGAAAATTTATCCTAAAGTGCCACTAGACTTTTTTTATGGGGATACATAAAAGATAAAGTTTACAGTACAAAACCGGCAACAGTCGACGAGTTGAGGGCGCACAAATATGGAACGAAATGATTCTTGATGTTTATGATCCCATTGCTTCGAGTTATCAGCAATGCCTGGACCAGAATGGTCATCAGTTTGAAAATAAGCATTGACAAAAAAAGTATTCATCTCTGTAGAGTCTTTAAAATTTTGAAAATGAACTGTATGTTAATAAACACCGACTTTATAATAATTCAAAGTGCATATACATTTTTTGGGCGATATCCTGTATTCAGTCTTTTTTTTTTTTTTATGATATCCGAGTAGGGAAGGTTTTTTTAAAAATATGTTTTTATTGATTTTAGAGAGAGAGAAAGAGAGAAACATCAATGTGAGACAGAAATACCGATCCATTGCCTCCTGCATGTGTACCCCAACTGGGGACCAAACCCACAATGTTTGTGTGTGCCCTGACCCAGAATGAACCGGTGACCTTTTGGTACATGGGACGATGCTCTACCAACTGAGCCACACTGACAAGGGCTTTCAGTCTTTTCTTAAATCTTACATGATTGTGTTTACATGATGATTTTATACAAAGGACAAATCATAGGCTGTTATAACCTGGCTTTTTCCCACTTAATGTGTCATGATCATTTCCCTGTGTCATAAAAATATTTCATCTAAAATATTTTATTTCACTAGTATAATATTTGAGAAGTTACATAATAAGCTAGATGTGCAATAATTTACATAATCTTTGAAGGTTTAGGTGGTTTTTTTTTAGTATTCTGTATAACATATTGTATATGTTTTTGAGTATGTGATTATTTCATCAGTGTAAATTTGTAGACATGAAATAACTAAGTCAAAGAAAATACTTTAAAAAAAAAAAAAATGTTTATTGATTTCAGAGAGAGGAAGGGAGAGGAAGAGGGAGAGTTGAAACATCAATGATGAGAGAGTCATTGATTGGCTGCCTCCTGCACGCCCCTGACTGGCGACTGAGCCCGCAACCTGGGCATGTGCCCTGACCGGGAATCGAACCGCAATCTCCTGGATCCTAGGTCAATGCTCAACTGCTGAGCTACGCCTGGCCGGGCGAAAATGGACATTTTTAAGTCGGCTGATTTTTAAACTACTTAATGTAGCTAAACTGGATGATGTGTGTGCAGGTAACATGCATAATGAAAATTTAGAACAAATAAAGGTGAATGCACTTCAGCTAAGTAGATACTTAAGTGTCTAAGAATAAAACACAATGTTCAGTAGACATTTCAAATAATAAACAAAGAAAAAAAGATTGAAACAATTCCTTTTTTTTTTTTTTTTTTTTAATATATTTTTATTGATTTCAGAGAGAGG